AAATTAACAAGGATATCCAGGACCTGAACTCAGACCTGGAACAAGCAAAACAAGCAAACCTAATAGACATTTACAGAACTCTCCACCCCAAATCCACAGAATATACATTCTTTTCAGCACCACATCACACCTACTCTAAAATTGACCACATAATTGAAAGTAAATCACTCCTCAGCAAATGCAAAAGAACAGAAATCATAGAAAACAGTCTCTCAGACCACAGTGCAATCGAGTTAGAACTCAGAATTCAGAAACTAACTCAGAACCACACAGTTTCATGGAAACTGAATAACTGGCTCTTGAATGTTGACTGGATAAACAGTGAAATGGAGGCATGAATAAAGATGTTCTTTGAAACCAATGAGAATGAAGACACAACATACCAGAATCTCTGGGACATATTTAAAGCAGTCTCTAGAGGAAAATATGTAACAATAAGTGCCCACATGAGAAGCAAGGAGAGATCTAAAATTGAAACCCTAGCATCAAAATTGAAAGAGCTAGAGGAGCAAGATAAAAACAAACAAACAAACAAAAAAAAAAACTCAAAGCCTAGCAGAAGACAGGAAGTAACTAAATCAGAGCAGAACTGAAGGAGACCGAGACACAAAAAAAACCTTCAAAAAATCAATAAAATCAGGAGCTTTTTCCAAAAGATCAACAAAATAGACCACTAGCCAGATTAATAAAAAAGAAAAGAGAGAATAACCAAATTGATGCAATAAAAAACGATCAAGGGGATATCACCACAGATTCCACAGAAATTCAAACCATCATCACAGATTATTAAAAAAACTCTATGCACATAAACTAGTAAACCTGGAAGAAATGGATAAATTCCTGGACACCTGCATCCTCCCAAGCCTAAACCAGGAAGAAGTTGAAACCCTGAATAGAACAATAACAAGGTCTGAAGTTGAGGCAGCAATTAAGAGCCTACCACCCAAAAAAAGCCCAGGTCCAGATGGGTTCACAGCCGAATTCTACCAGACATACAAAGAGGAGCTGGTATCATTGCTTCTGAAACTATTCCAGACAATCCAAAAAGAGGAAATCCTTCCCAAATCATTTTACTAAACCAACATCATCCTGATACCAAAACCCAGCAGAGACTCAACAAGAAAAGAAAACTTCAGGCCAATATCCATGATGAACATACATGCAAAAATCTTCAATGAAATACTGGCAAGCCGATTGCAACAGCACATCAAAAAGCTTATCCACCATGATCAAGTAGGATTCATCCCAGGGATGCAAGGCTGGTTCAACATACACAAGTCTATAAACATAATTCACCACATAAACAGAACCAAAGACAAAAACCACATGATTATCTCAATTGATGCAGAGAAGGCCTTTGACAAAATTCAACAGCCGTTTATGCTAAAAACCCTCAATAAACTAGGTATTGATGGAATGTATCTCAAAATAATGAAAGCTATTTATGACAAACCAACAGCCAATATCATACTGAATGGGCAAAAACTGGAAGCATTCCCTTTGAAATCTGGAACTGGACAAGGATGCCCTCTCACACCACTCCTATTCAATATAGTACTGAAAGTTCTGGCCAGAGAAATCAGGCAAGAAAAAGAAATAAAGGGTATTCAAATAGGAAAGGAGGAAGTCAAGTTGTCTCTATTTGCAGATGACATGATTGTATATCTAGAACACCCCATCGTCTCAGCCCAAAATCTCCTGAAACTGATAAACAACTTCAGCAAAGTCTCAGGATACAAAATCAATGTGCAAAAATCACAAGCATTCCTATACACCAATAACAGACTTAAAGAGAGCCAAATCAAGAACAAACTGCCATTCACGATTGCTACAAAGAGAATAAAATACCTAGGAATACAGCTAACAAGGAACGTAAAGGACCTCTTCAAGGAGAACTACAAGCCACTGCTCAACGAAATAAGAGAGGACACAGAGAGATGGAGAATCATTCCATGTTCATGGCTAGGAAGAATCAATATCATGAAAATGGTCATACTGCCCAAAGTAATTTACAGATTCAACGCTATTCCCATCAAGCTACCAATGACCTTCTTCACAGAATTGGAAAAAAACACCTTAAACTTCATATGGAACCAAACAAGAGCCTGAATAGCCAAGTCAATTCTAAGCAAAAAGAACAAAGCAGGAGGCATCACACTACCAGACTTCAAATTATACTACAAGGCTACAGTAATCTAAACAGCATGGTACTGGTACCAAAACAGAGATATAGACCAATGGAACAGAACAGAGGCCTCGGAGGAAACACAACATATCTACAACCATCCGATTTTTGACAAACCTGACAAAAACAAGCAATGGGGAAAGGATTTTCTGTCTAATAAATGGTGTTGGGAAAACTGGCTAGCCATGTGCTGAAAGCAGAAACTGGACCCCTTCCTGACACCTTACACTAAAATTAACTCCACATGCATTAAAGACTTAAACATCAGACCTAACACCATAAAAACCCTAGAAGAAAATCTAGGCAAAACTACTCAGGACATGGGTGCAGGCAAGGACTTCATGACCAAAACACCAAAAGCATTGGCAACAAAAGCCAAAATAGACAAATGGGACCTAATCAAACTCCACAGCTTCTGCATGCCAAAAGAAACAGTCATTAGAGTGAATTGGCAACCAACAGAATGGGAAAAAATTTTTGCAGTCTACCCATCTGACAAGGAGCTTTGTAAATATCCAGAATTTACAAAGAACTAAAACAGATCTGCAGGAAAAAAACAAACAAGCCCATTCAAAAGTGGGCAAAGGATATGAACAGACACTTTACAAAAGAAGACATACAAGAAGCCAACAAACATAAAAAAATGCTCATCATCACTGTTCATTAGAGAAATGAAAATCAAAACTACATTGAGATATCATCTCATGCCAGTTAGAATGGCGATCGTTAAAAAATCTGGAGACAACAGATGCTGGAGAGGATGTGGAGAAATAGGAACACTTTTACACTGTTGGTAGGAGTGTAAATTAGTTCAACCATTGTGGAAGACAGTGTGGCAATTCCTTAAGGACCTAGAAATAGAAATTCCATTTGACCCAGCAATCCCATTACTGGGTATATATCCAAAGGATTATAAATCATTCTACTATAAGGATACATGCACATGAATGTTCATTACAGCACTGTTTACAATAGCAAAGACCTGGAACCAACCCAAATGCCCATCAATCAGAGACTGGACAGGGAAAATGTGGCACATATACACCATGGAATATTATGCAGCCATCAAAAATGATGAGTTCATGTCCTTTGTAGGGACATGGATGAACCTGGAAACCATCATTCTCAGCAAACTGGCACAAGAACAGAAAATCAAACACCGCATATTCTCACTCATAGGCGGGTGTTAAACAATGAGAACACATGGACACAGGGAGGGGAGCACTACACACTGGGGTCTGTTGGAGGCAAATGGGGGAGGGATGGGGTTGGGGAGGTGGGGAGAGATAGCATGGGGAGAAATGTCAGAAATAGGTGAAGGGGAGGAAGGCAGCAAATCACACTGCCATGTGTGTACCTATGCAACAATCTTGCATATTCTTTGCTTGTACCCCAAAACATAAAATGCAATTAAAAAAAAAAAAACTCTAGAAGAAAACCTAGGCAAAACCATTCAGGACATAGATGTAGGCAAGGACTTCATGACCAAAACGCCAAAAGCATTGGCAACAAAAGCCAAAATAGACAAATGGGACCTAATCAAACTCTACAGCTTCTGCACAGCAAAAGAAACAGTCATTAGAGTGAATCAGCAACCAACAGAATGGGAAAAAATTTTTGCAATCTACCCATCTGACGAAGGGCTGATATCTAGAATCTACAAAGAACTAAAACAGGTTTACAAGAAACAAACAAACAAGCCCATTCAAAAGTGGGCAAAGGATATGAACAGACACTTTACAAAAGAAGACATACAAGAGGCCAACAAACATATAAAAAATTGCTCATCATCGCTTGTCATTAGAGAAATGAAAATCAAATCTACATTGAGATACCATCTCACGCCAGTTAGAATGGCAATCATTAAAAAATCTGGAGACAACAGATGCTGGAGAGGATGTGGATAAATAGGAACTTTTACACTGTTGATGGGAGTGTAAATTAGTTCAACCATTGTGGAAGACAGCATGGCGATACCTCAAGGACCTAGAAATAGAAATTCCATTTGACCCAGCAATCCCATTACTGGGTATATATCCAAAGGATTATAAATCATTCTCCTATAAGGACACATGCACATGAATGTTCATTGCAGCACTGTTTACAATAGCAAAGACCTGGAACCAACCCAAATGCCCATCAATGAGAGACTGGACAGGGAAGATGTGGCACATATACACCATGGAATATGATGTCACCAACGAAAACGATGAGTTGGTATCCTTTGTAGGGACATGGATGAACCTGGAAACCATCATTCTCAGCAAACTGACACAAGAACAGAAAATCAAACACCACATGTTCTCACTCATAGGTGGGTGTTGAACAATGAGAACACATGGACACAGGGAGGGGAGCACTACACACTGGGGTCTGTTGGGGGGAAATAGGGGAGGGACAGCAGGGAGTCAGCAGTTGGGGAGAGATAGCATGGGGAGAAATGCCAGATATAGGTGATGGGGAGGAGGGCAGCAAATCACACTGCCTGTGCAACAATCTTGCATGTTCGTCCCCATGTACCCCAAAACCTAAAATGAAATAAAAAATAAAAAATTTTAAAAAAAGAGAGATAAGGAAAAACTGGAGCCCTTAGGTCCAGGAGACAGTGAGACCCAACCAGCCCCAGGTAAGCTTCCTGTAAGTGGCCCTTTCCACAGTGTGAGTGCAGCTGAGTCCTTCCTTCATCAGGTGTCTGCATAAATTATAAATGGCATGAGAGAAGAGGCAAACTTACGAGGTATTTAGGAAAGAGTATGGAACTAAAGAAGGCCAATTTTGTGAAGCCAAAAGCAAACAGACAGATGCATTCATTTACATGGAAAAGTCAGTTGGGAAGGAAGCATTTCTCCTTGTGAATTCATTTACCAGCACCATCTTCTCTAAATTCTAGCCTTTAGGATCCTCCAGGTCAACATCCTCTTCCAGGCTTCAAGCAAGTCATTGGTTTCAGCATCTGGGAAAACCAAGGAATGTTATGTAACTGTCTCATGCATGTGCATGTGTATGTTCTTATAAAGAGAAGGCTCCTAGTGTTCATCAGATCCCAAAGTAATCTATGAGCTGAGAAGGTCAGAAGCCCTGCTCCAGTCTGCCCCTGCCAAGAGCCAGGCATTGCTCTGCAGGGATGAAGCTCCATTCGGATCCTGCCCATGGCCAGCTGAAGCCTTTTCTGCCTCTTGGAAGCCCTGAAGCCACTTATTTTAAGACCATGGCCTATAGTGTGGATCTTCAACTGCTGATTGCAATAGATTCAATGTCCCTTGACCAGGCAGCATGCCAGGGAAGCTGCATTTCCTCCACAAAGGCTGACAGAAAAACTTAGGACCCAACTTACCAGAAAACATGAAGGCGCCAAAGTCAGCTTTCCCATTATAGTCATAGGTTCTACCACACTGGTGATGAATCCTCAGCACAGGCAAAAAAACAGGATGGCATAAAAATAAAGCACATCTCAGGCCGGGTGCGGTGGCTCACGCCTGTAATACCAGCACTTTGGGAGGCTGAGGAGGGTGGATCATGAGGTCAAGAGATCAAGACCATCCTGGTCAACAGGGTGAAACCCCATCTCTACTAAAAATACAAAAAATTAGCTGGGCATGGTGGTGCACGCCTGTAGTCCCAGCTACCAGGGAGGCTGAGGCAGGAGAATTGCTTGAACCCAGGAGGCGGAGGTTGCGGTGAGCCGAGATCACGCCATTGCACTCCAGCCTGGGTAACAAGAGCGAAACTCCGTCTCTAAATAAATAAATAAATAAATAAATAAAGCACATCTCTTGGCCAGTGGTCTTGAAGTGTTCCTTCCACACCTGCCCACCTCAGCTTGCCTGTGGGCACCCTCTCCTTTCTGCAGAGGTTACTTGCAGCACGTCTTAGCCTTTCCACTCAAGTTCCATTCTCCACTTAGAGCCAAGTACCTTATCTAACCCACGATGCACACAGGAATGCAAAACATCCCCTGCTGTGTGCTGATGCCACATGCAGCAGGAAGTGATCCCAAGGTATCCTGAAATTAACTTACCGAGTTGCATGCAGCATTTCCTTCCTTTTATTTTTGTTTTGAAGGAGAATAGAATGGAATGGAATAGACAGACTAGACTAGAACATATCTGAGTCATTGCATGGTAATGACTACTTGAGACTTGTGTTTCAGTGTATATGGTGGGGTGGGGGGTGTCGCAATTTAAAATGTTGCCTCTCAGTCAGAAAAAAAACTTGAAAAGATGAATCTCAGGCCATCCACGGAGCTTTCACATGAGGTCCAGGGGCTTCTGAAGGGCTGTGAAGTTGCAGGGAACATGAAAACAAAAGCAGCAGGGACAGAGGACCTTGATTCAGGTCCAGGATGTGCTGTGTCCTCAGTCAGGTCCCACCATCCCTTTGAGCCTTTTTTCTCCATTTGTAAAATGAAGATAATCAATCTCATTTTGCCTACATTGAAAAACTGTTGTGCAGCTCAAATGGAACAGCGTTTGCTAAATGTGGTGCACATCACAGGACAAGGCTTATGTAAGGCATCTTGGAATTTTTGTTTATAGTGGCAAACTCATACCAGAAAAAGAAGAAATGGATAATAGGGTTGTTCAGGAGGTACAGGGGGTGCAGAGGGTGCTATGGTTTGAACGTGTTGCCAAAAATCATGTGTTGAAAACATAACCCATAATGCAACTGTGGTGGGAGGTAGGGCCTAATGGGAGGTGTTTGCATTACGAGGGCTCCACCCTCATGAACGGATCCAGGCCTATTATTAAAAGGTCAGAGGTTGTAAGTTCACCCTCTTGCTCTCTCTCACCTTCTCTTTGCCATTTTGCCATGAAATGAAGCAGCAAGAAGGCCGTCGTCAGATGCCAGTCCCTCAGTCTTGGAGTTCTCAGCCTCCAGAACTGTGAGAAGTAAATTTCTTTTCTTTATAAATTACTTAGTCTGTGGTATTCTGTTACAGCAACAAAAAAAAGATTAAGACAGAGAGTGTTAAAGATCCCTCAAGTCATCCCACGCGGCAGTCTCAGCAGTCTCCTAGTTCCTCTGTGTGTCAAGCCAGAGGAGATTATCCAGGTAATGCCTCAGGAATCCTCCTACTGCAGGGATTCTAAGCAACACAAGCAAGGGAAGTCTCGTTTGTTTTGTTTTCCAGTGTCATTGGCCCCAGGGCTGGTATTTGATAGCACCTGCATGTCTAGGGCTGACCAGTTCTTTCTGGCTCACTCCACCCCTGCAGAGCCCTAGGAAACCCATACAACTTCCTCATTGCCGATGAAGCAAGGCAAGTTGAAGTGCACGCCTCTTATGGAGTGAACACTGCTACCCTTTCTACTTCATGGAAAGGTCTTGCAAAACATTGTTTCTGTCTTCTTGCATGAATCATAGACTAAAGAATGAAGAAACACTTCTGAGTAACAAGGAAAAAAGAAAAGAAAGCAAGCTGTGATGATGTGTTCTTGGAACGTAACTCCAAGTCAGTTTACATGAGCAAAATCAACATGTAGATCTTTGTGTAGGGTTTGCTGCTAAAGGACAAAAAAAAAAAAAAAAAAAAAATCCTTTCCTTTTCCTTTTTTTCTGATTAAAAAGCTAACAGACACTCACAAAAGCAAATAAAAAAATTAGTTCCCAAGAGGAAGACAATGTAAGCAATTTAAAGAACATTTTTCCAAATTTGTGTATTTTACTAAACTAAAAGATGGATATACATACATGGGTACAGTATAGATGCTATTTTCCACTCCACGTTCTTTTACTCATCCACATGACAGAGAGCTTCTCTGTGATGGTGAATAAAAATCTAGAACACTGCTATTAGTGTTCTGTCATAAAAATGAAGCAGTTAGTCAATCTCACTGAGTTGCTTCTTAAGTTTTGTATCTATAAAAAAATGCCAGGATAAACATTCTTATATATTCATTATTACGCATTTATCCAGTTATCTCCCAGGAATAAGTTTCTGAGAGAAGAATGATTGAGTCAAAAACTATCAGTATGTTAAAGGTTAATGCATATTGCCAAACTGCCCTGCAGAAATGGGGCATCAGGTCCCACCATCCCCGAATTGTAAAAGAAAACCCATTTCTCCACATCTAATCAATAGTGGCTATTGTCAGTCTTTTTACCTGTTTTCCAACATAGTAAGTAATAAATAATACGTATTTGTTGTTTTAATTGCATTTCTTTGATTTCAGTGAGATGTTAAATTATTAACTGTTATCACTGCAAATATACTACTAACAGTGACAATTGATAATGTGCATTGAAAAATTTCTCTGCAACAGACACTATACTAAGCTCTTTACAGAATTATTTTCTTTAATCCTCACAGTAACCACTCAAGGCAGGGAAAATAAGTATCCCTGTTTTACAGATAAAAACAAAGGCTTAGAGAGGTTAATCTGCTAAAGGTCATACAGTTAGTAAATAGTGAATCCAGAACTCAGTCAGGTAGATCTGCCTCTAAAGCCCACATTCTGTAGGAGGGCATCATTCTTCCATTTATTTCCATACACATGTGCACTAATTCTGTGTTTCTTCTATGTATGTTTCCATAGGTAAGTTTTATGTGTTTATGTCCTTTGCTCATTTTTTTTCAATCGGAGGGCTTCTGTTTTTATTAATTAGCAATAACTCTTTGTATATTAAGAATATTGTCATTTTTAAATCTACTTTTTTCTCTGTGAAATGTATTTATACCCAATTTACAACTTACATTTCTGTTTGTGATTAGTGTAATGAGTGAGTAATGACTTTGATAAGCTCTGAAGCCTGATATTGTACTCCTCAGGTATAGATGAGCCCAAGAAGCTTAGCCAAGCGGATGGGGTTAGATTTTGCCAGCAGCGCAGCCATGGACACTAAGAGGGCTGGATAAAAGCACACATGGCAATGGGAATGGGGGAAGAAGTGACAGAGAAAGCCAGCAGACAGGGTCGCATAGCTGCAATTTCCTCTTCAGTGAGCCTCTTTAGGAAAGGAGGTCTCTCCGTTTTTCTCACCTTGCAGGACCTTCTCTAACACTTTCCCTCACTTCTGCCACCATATCCCAAGAACAGGAGTTTTGTCATATGGTATGTTTTAGGGCTTCAAAATCTCTTTGCATCCCCAAATTTGAATTAACCCTTTATCAAAGCAAACACTAAGCAAAGACCCCCAGCACATCCCTCCTTTGGCCTTGGGGTAGGTTTATTGTCATAGCACAAACCGTCTTCCCTGTAGCAGGACAGGTGCCAAGGGGGACATGGGAAATTGGGGCCCAGTTGGGGTCCCACCAGGTACTGACTGGTAGTGTGGCCATAAGGAAGTTGTTTTCCAATCCCCTGGCTTTGGTTTTCTCACTAGCAAAATGGGGATGACATAGCCATGTCACAGACGGCTGGAAATTATATAAGAAAATGTTTACCAAGTGCCAATGCCTGTGTGACCCTGAGTGTTTAGAAGCTGGGCCTCTGACTCCACCAGTGTCCTTAGAGATGGTGACATCAAAGTCCTCTATGGCTTTCATTGGAGAAATGTAAAACATTGCTAGGACTCAGCTGCCTTGCTATTAAACTAGTATTTCAGTTGATGTGTCTCCAAGATTATTAACCCAAGAGAGACTGCCAGAGCTAAACAGCAGGACAGCATGACATTTCCTCACTCCTCATTGACCTCTTTCTCCTCTTTGTGGGCACCAAAGCCCTTCAAAGGCTGCCTGATCCTAGAATCCACAATTGCTTCACTCAGTGACTATTCATGAAGTATTGTTGGTCCCCAAATCCTCTGTCTTTGGCTTGGATTATACAGGATTGCAGAGCTATAGTATAAATGAAGCAATACCAGGATTCATTCAAAGAAAGTTCCCCAGAACATCAGAACTTGTTGGAAGCAATAGAGGAGAAATGCAATCCTCTTAATTTCCTACAAAGACCAAAACAATCCCTCCTTTGCTGATGCTGGCTGGTTAGTTCCCAGCCATCCCTCTCCACCCTCAGAATGCTCCTCTTTTGGCCTTGAGGTAAGTTTATTGTCACAGCACCCTTTGTTTGCAGAGCAATGTAGATTTAGAGGAACTGGAGCTATGTGCATGGAGCTCCCCACTTTGTCAAGCACTGTAAACACACCTCATCCTCACAGCAGCCCAATGAGATCCCTAGTCACCTACTTAACAAAGCAGGAAGTCAAGATTCAGAAGATTGAACAGTTCCCAAAGCCACATAACTGGTCAATGACCAAAGTGCAACTTAAGCCCAGCTGCAGGCACCTTCAACACCCCCAGTCGCCTACCATGCACTCATCCTTTAGCCTTTACAAAGCACTTTCACATGTGTTTTCTTCTTGATTTGCCCCAGATCCTTCAAATTGGCACAGCTCCCCTGCCATTGTCTCCATTTACTGATGTGGGGCTGAAAGAAGCTGCAGAATGGATTCTCACCCTCACTAACTGGCATGTGGTGCCTCTGGAGCCAAGCCCCAGGCATAGGCCTGCACCCCACCCAGGCAGCCTCCTGCAGCCAGGCCCCAGGGGTGGAGGGCACCCACCTGAGAGCTCCAAAGTGAGCTATTGAAGGAATACAAAAATATTTACCTTGTTTCTGAGATCAAAAATATTCTACTCAGAAATACGTCTGGACATTGCAACAAGATCTAAGTCAACATTGACCAACTCACTGGGGAATCCTGGGTTCAGGAGCCCTGCACCCCAATCCTTCTCCCCAAGGGGATCATTTGGCTTCACCAAGAAGGTACTGCTGCACAGGCCTTCAGCCCCAGCTGGAGGTCATCTCCACAGCTCCTTTTACTTGTAAAAGTTTATCAGTACAACCAACCCCTGAGGGCCACAGAGTTAGAGGTAAAACCAAGCGCGGCTCTGAAGGAGGAAGTATCGAACTGCAGCCAAAACAAATGTTGCCTGAGATGAGGGATTAGAGCAAACTACGAGAAGAGCTGGCACAATGAACACACTTACACTTCGTTATTCAAGGGCATGAGGTATGAAGGGCAGCTCGTCTTGGAGAATGCAACAGTCTGGTCAGCTTGCAGCCATTTTAAGCTGCATTCAATGAGGTGTCATCAAGGCTTTGAACATTCTTACTGGGGTCATACACTTTTTGAACTCAAAAGGATCTTTGAGAGAATCCAGTCCCATCCTCAAATTTAACAGTTGATGGAACTAGTGTCCAAATAAGTTCAGTGACTTACCCAAACTTATCGAGCTGGTCAGTGATAGAAAAGTGACCAGAAGTCAGGTGCAGAGCTTCAATAACATCAACACAGATTGCCAAGCCCTCAAAGGTGCTGTTTATGTGCACATACACATGCATATACATATGTGATGCAAATGTAAGCACACATGCACATACATACATGCACGGACATATACTCACACACACACTTCACTCAGACTCCACACAACACGTTCTTATCAAGCCATTCTGGGCATCCAAGCAGGATATACCTTGGGTAATGAGGTTGACCATGCAGCTGACTGAGAGGAACACTGCACCATGAGGGGCCTTGCTTACCGTCAGCTTTACATTTACACCTGTTGTTCCTTGACAGCCAGGCCAATAACAGCACTGACCTAGTGGGTGGTACTAGGTTTCCCAAATGACTGTATGGGAAAATGTTGACCAGCAGCTCAGAATGGTGCCCGGTACCTACAGATCCTCATTCATGTCCTAGATGGGGATGTGTCACTTCTTAGAAGGCAGGAAACAAGTGTAGTGTAAGGAGCAGAACTTCTGTGGTCAGACCACCCTGGGCCATGACCCCGACTCTGTTCTTAACTCTGGACAGCTTGCCCACTCTTGCTTGGCTATGGCACCCATGTATACATGAGTTGTTGTCAGGAGTGAATGAGGTGATGGCATTGGCTGCCCAACTGCCAGCAAATACGAAGGGCTCACAAATGGAAAGCAATCCAGGGTGCAATTTGCATGTGG